GGGGGAGGGATTCCAAGAGCACCGCCGGGCGGAGGCGGAGGAGGAGGAGGCGGCGGCGGCGGCGGAGGGGGGATTCCCACAGCTCCCGGGGCAGGAGGTGGTGGTGGCGGCGGGGGAGGCGGAGGGGGAGCGGGCACGCCCTTGCCCGCCGGCTTCTCGATTTCACCCTCAACCTTGGGTCCGACGGTGGCAGCACTGCCCTCAAGCGTCGTGGTTTGAGCACCCTCCGGAACAGCAGCGCCCGTTTCATTGTCGTCAGCGTCAATCTTAGGTACCCGCGAGGCAATCTCTCCGAGCAGACCGTTCGCCTGCTTGGGGTTCAGTCGGGGTCGATGAAGGTCCACGAGACGTGCCTTCTCATAGATGATTTCTCCGTTCTCATCCACCTCACCCTCCTGCTCCTGGCCCTCAAGCTCACCCCTCTCCATGCCGGGCAAGTGGCTTCGCTTGCGGTGGACGGATCCCAGTGCAGGAACATTCTGGCGGGCGTGCTCCTCAAAGTCATCGTTTGGTTCGGCCTCGCCGTCCATCTGTTCGCGGAGTTCACGCAGCCGGTCCGAGGTAACATGTTGGCCCCAAACCTTGCCCTCAAGCTTGAATTGAGTCTTGGTCCGTTCGAGCTGCATCTCCAATCGCTCCAGGAGCTTCTCACGATCCAAAATTCCTCTCATGTGCGATGGATCCGCTTCTGCGAGGTTGTTGTTCTTCTTGGCATTTGAAGCAGCGATATCCTGGGCGTCCCGAAGCATTAGGTAAAGCTCTCTGGTTTCCAGTTCGTTCCGTTGCAACTCCTGAGCGCGCAGCCTTTGCACATCGGCGAGCTCAGCCCGGATTGCCTCCTCCCGTCTCCGTTGAAGCTCAATGACGCCGGTCTGCTCTTCGATCTGCTTCTGCAGCTTCTTTACAAGACCATCTGCACCCAGTTCGATTTGCGCCTTCATCTCATCACGCTCCGCGAGGGCAGCCTCCGCGATCTGCCGAGCCTCCAATGATTCATCGTAGGCTTGTCGTGCCTCCGAATCCGTATGCAGCTTGTCTAAGAGGCTCTGCACAGTAAATGTCAACCCTTGCCGGAGGTCCAGGTCGGGTAACCTTCGGTCCATGGCTACGTAGCTGAGCATGGCATCGACAAGCTGGTACATGCGGAGGCCATCCTCTCCGGAATTCTCCCGGATTAGGAGCATATGTTGCATAGCAGAGAGGAAGTAGTCATGAGCTCGAGTACCCTGTATCCTCGATGCAATAGCGTCGGTAATTTGTAGAGGGTCGCTCATGTCCTTGACCTCGCCCTCGATGCTATCCTTCACGCTGCTACTCTCGCGCTGCAGGAGATCTTCGTAGTCGATGGCCTCATTTTCTCGGAAGCGCTCGATCTGCTTGTCGATGACCTCATATTGGAAGCCTTCCATTTTCGTCATGAGACGCTTGATGCCGCAAGAAATGAACTGCGCGCGAATATGACAACGCAACTGCAGGTCGTTCTCCGGTGCATCCACCAGCATATTGATCAGGAGCATGGTTGAGACCGCATATTCCATGAGAAGGTTTTCCATGCCTATGCCACCGCTGCGATATTCCTCACTTGCACCCACCATACTGCCCATCTTTCCACGGCCATCGATGGTCACCTCCACAATCCGCATCCAGGCATCAAACCGGCCAGTCTCTCCGTGGTGGTTCTTGACATGATCCATAGCCTGGAGGACCTTCTGGTGCCCATGCCCTTCGGCCCAGTGACAAAGAAAGGTCAGGACCTCACTGACCAGCTTCCTCGTATTGAGCCGAGGGGACAGCAGCGAGCTCACGAGAGCCACGATGACCTGTTGGTGAGCAAGAGCATCATCCGCGCCATATTTGTTGTTCATCAGTGCCTTCAGGCACTTGACAATGTCATATTCACGATCCAAATCCTTATCGCCCGTCGGGGGCGCAGGAACGGGACCAGAAGCCTTTCTCCGGTTAATCTTGGAAAGAACGTTCGTCAGGGCTATTTGGCCTTGTGCCTCGACAAAGGCTTTTACCCAACTGATCGGTTGGGTTCGCAGACTGACGCTCAGACTAGCTAATTGTTTCGAGGTGATTGAGTCATCCATCACTTTCTTCACGTACCACTCCGGACTTCCCTCTTCATCGGCCCGCTCCAGAATCCCCGTCGGCCCATCATGACCATGGGTCTGCCGTGCATTCTGCCGCCGCTTCTGTTCGCCTTGTATCTCCGTCAACCGATCTTGATGAACCAGCGTCCACTTTTTCGAAGCCGGGTACGCAAGCATCTGCCGTTTGGCCTGCTCCGGCAGATTCTGCCAACCACGCTTCTGCATCAGTTCCAGAAACAGCTGGTCCACGACCCGATCGTCCCGAGGGCGAGTCAGGTATTGCTCAGGATTGGTCGGCGGCTTTGTAGGTTGCGAGGCTTGTGCCGATTGCCACGCGGCTTGTGCATTCGACAGTCGACTGGAGGTCCCATTGGACGAGTAGGTATTGCGGTCGGCGGAATGCGAGGTCGTCAGCGTGCGTGAAGAACCATCCGATGAAAAGTAGCTCGAACCCCGAGTGTCCCGGGTGTTGGACGATAGCGACGAGTGGACACTGGCTTGGTCGAAAGATATTCGGGAATGCGCAGAAGAATCTACCGTAGAGGAAGAGTTGTGACTGAACCCCGTATTGGCAGCCGAACTTCCTGGCCGCCCCCATTGCTGGTATCGAGCACCCTTGTCCCCAGACGAGCTTCCCGCCATGGTCATATTGGACGAATGCGGTGGCGGACGAGGGCCGGTGGGGTGGGAGTAGGAGTTGTTGTCTCGGACACTGGCCGGATTCCAGGCGGGATATTGGTGGAAATCACTGCCTCCCTTGGCGAGGTGATTCGGGGATGGTTCTTTGCGAGGCGAGGTTTCGGCCTTGGACAGATAGTCGATCGGAATGGGCGACTTGGTGTCGGCGGGGAGACTTTCAAATGGAATGGAGGTAATGACACCCGCGGTCATGGAGAGTGCTGCCGGATCGATGTCGGTGGGAAAGTCCATGGACTGGACGGAGGACCGTTTGGAGTGGCGGGAGGAACGAGAACCAGCGGCGCTTCCAGGAGGCGCGAGGCTCTCGAGGCCGCCATGGGCATCGTAGCGGTCGTCTACCGGCTTCTCCTTGTGCAATTTCCTCCCGAAGAACGATTTGCCAGCGGAGGTCTGTCTCGATTTGTCAGGCGCGGACGTGGTAGTTGGCATCTTGACGGACGTCGCTGGGGAAATGCAGGGCGCAGCATGAGCGTAATCGCTGGGCAGGTGCGTCGAGGTCGCTCACAGTCGTCGGGGCTTGTACACGGACGAGGTGCCGTCGCTCTCAATCTCTGCTTGGGCCACGATCACCTCCACCTCAAGGCGACAACTTATTCCTGGCACTCCTGACTAACACTAATTAATAGCCGCTGCGGAGCAGCGTTGGCACGAGGGGGGGGGGAATGCCACCAAATCGAGAGGCTTCTCCCAACAACCAGAGTGAGAGACGCACTCAAGGATGGCAGTCAAAGGAGCGGTCTGTGGGTGACGGCTCCCAGTAGGGCTATCCTACTCTGGTACTCCCAGAATCGGGGCTTTAGTGGCTGGAGTCTTTTTGCACGTCAGGACTTGAAGCACGGGCATCAGGGGGGGGGGCACTGAGGCGGCTCTAGAACGCGGTAGGGACCGGCTGGCCCACGTGATTCCGCCTCCCTGATGCCTCAGGCATTCACGCCGTGCAGCGCCGATCACGTGGCGCTGTCAATGCCGCCGACATCTCCGGAGGAATGCAACCGTTGGAGCTGTCAGATGGATTTAGCCGACTGACCAGTGTCGGTCTGCTTGTTAATATCTGTGTCTCCCGCCTACCCGCAGTCATTGGGCTCATTCCCGCGCCGTCGCAAGTCATGACAGGCCGTCGCTGTTAATCGGGAATCCCTGGCTTATTTGGCGCCGTGGTCCGCGCCTCCTTCCGGCTGCTGCCTGCCTGCCTGGCATTCTTGAGATTGTTACATGACGACCTGAGCACCAAGTGCCAGCGTTCGCATCACCATGGGTTCCGCCACTAACTTTGCCAAAGTCTGCTCCCTCTTCTCCCCATGGACTCGGACCTGTTCTAACCGACTGTTCTCTCCAGACCATCATTATCCCCGCCGTGATCTCACTGGCCCTCTACCTCCTTTTCTCCTTCGTGATCATCCCCTTCTTCCGCCGATATCACCAGCGATACTCACAGTATCTCCCCCTCCACACCATCTCCGCGCACACTACGACACTCCGGGATCGCATTGCAGACGCGTTGATGCGGCGCTTTCTCCCCTCGGCCTGGCGACAGCCGCACTTCGAGCAGCACGATAACATCAGCATATACGACGAGGAAGGGGAGATCATGGTGGGGATGGACATGGACCCCACGCGACGAGAAGCGCTCGAGCGACGACGTAGTACGGCTGGCGATGCGGAAAGTCGGCTTAGTCGGGAACTCGAAGCAGGATTCATGGACGATAGCGACGACGAGGGGCATGCCCCGTCACATCGGTGATGCAACGCCATGTCTATACATATACCATATCATAAGAGTGATCTAGGCATTGAGGTGGGAAGTAGAACACTAGACAACGGATAGACTACTGTTCTCGCGCTGAACCTTATCACCTGCGCCTGTCCTTATCGATACCTTGCTTCGATAGACTCACCGCAGCAGCCAGCAAGACATACATAAGACCTACAGACCACCATCTGCACAATCAATGCAATGCACGACGCACCCAAGTATATGTCCGAGCCTTCGTTACTCCCATCCCTTACTTATCTGTTCCTTCTCCAACCCCCTCAACCACTACTCCAACCTAAACCCAAACAAACAACCCAACAAGGTAGGTACCTTTCTCTCCGCGGTCCCCTCCTACAACCTACACATCAAGCCAGCCCCTCAATTAGCTGCCTACCTACCTACCTAGTACTAGTAGATAATAGCCATAGTAGTACTACTAGTAGATACCCAACCCATCAATCCAAACAACCCATTGACTGACCCCAAAGCCCAACATCCCACCAATTCCACCCAACTCAGTCCAGCCGATCCCCTAACCCAAGAAACGTATCTCCCCCGAACTACTTATTCCCTACCCAAACTCAATTTCCCCTCCCATTCCCAGATATCACGTATACTGTGTACAGACAAAAAAGTATATGCCAGCAAACGCAATCACTAAGCGCACACTATCTAGTACTCGTGCTGATCGCGAGATCGGCCCAAGGTTCCTGTTCCTGTTACTGTTACTGTTACTGTTTACGGGTTGGGAAGGTTGGTGGTGAGGCGGTCGGGGTTAGGCAAGTTGTCGAGAATTGGGAATTGATCGGCGCCCCACTTATATTATTTTATCTTGACTATTTATCTACTTGGTTTATCTAGGTATCTAGATTGATAGTACTAAGTGGATAGATACGGTGTAGACTTAGAGAGATAGGAAGGAGGACAGAGGGACGGGAAATGGGGGTGAATGTCTATTGTCTACTGTCTACTGTCTAGAAGGATCTGTGGGGTTGGGCGGTGTACTACTCCGTAGATTATGGACTGGTAGGTCAATGGACTAGACTCCAATGTTGGGTATTGCTGTGGTCGAGGTTTGGGTTCGGGTGCTAAGGTCTGGAGGGTCGACGGGATTTGTTATTGAGTCCGGGAAGGGATTGGGATGATCCCGGGAGGGGTCCGATGCGGATCAGCGACGGAACACAGCAGTTACACAGTATGGTTACCCCGTTAGGGCTACGAGTAGCATCTCCACTTGAACAGAAAAGGTATGTATTTTGAAAGGTATCATGGCTAGTCATAACGAAAAATGGCCGAGAAAAACAGATCGATCCATGCAGCTCATCATCTCATTCTGCCATTTAGGCCTTGTTGCGCTGGCCGTAGGCTTTGGTAACGTAGTCACCTCCGTGCACAATGAGATCCTCGGGGCGGTAGTCGTGACGGCCCGAGAAGTAGCTCTCGAGGATGGCCTTGGTGCCGTTGGCGTAGCGGATCTGGGCGTCGATGGAGGTACCGGACATGTGAGGAACCATGGCGTTGCCGCCACCCCAGGGGCCCTGGACAGTGCGCAGAGGGTGGTCGGCGGGGGCGGGCTGGGGGAACCAGACATCACCACCGTAGCCGCGGAGGTGGCCAGACTTGATGGCCTCGGCGACGTCCTCCTTGACGACAATGGCACCCCGAGCGGTGTTGACGAGCCAAGAGCCTGTTCGAGCACGTTAGCATTTGTGTTGAATGGTCTCCAGTCCATCCGGGGCGGCTTACCCTTCTTCATCTTGGAGATCAGCTCCTTGTTGAACAGACCGCGGGTCTTCTCGTGCAGGGGGCAGTTGATGGTGACAACATCGCACTGAGCAAGCATCTCCTCGAGGGAGTCCACACGACGGCAGCCAATCTCGGCCTCAACCTCGGGCTTAAGAGGCTGGTAGTCGTAGTAGAGCAGCTCCTTGCAGTCGAAGGGCTTGAGGCGGCGCAGCACACGCTCACCGATACGGCCAACGGCCACGGTACCGACGACCTTGCCCTCAAGGTCGAACTCGTTCTTGGCGACGGCGGCAACGTCCCACTCGCCGCGGCGGATCTGCTCGTGGGCGGGGACAAAGTTGCGAACCAGGGTCAGGATGGTCATGACGACGTGCTCAGCGACGGAGACGACGTTGCAGCCGGTGACCTCGGCGACGGTAATACCACCATTGGTCTTGTTGGCGGCGTTCAAGTCGACGTGATCGGAACCGACACCAGCAGTGACGGCGATCTTGAGGTTCTTGGCCTTGGCCAGGCGCTCGGCAGTCAGGTAACCGGGGTGGAAGCTGTACATCAGTCAGCGGCGGTCCGTCTTGCAGTGGGGACGGTCAAAGAGGGTCACGGACGGAGTGGTAATGATGACTTCGGCATCGACAAGCTCCTTGTCAAAGGTCGAGTTCTCGCCCTCCTTGTCAGAGGTGGTGACCAGAGTGTGACCCTGGTCCTCCAGCCACTTTCTCAAGCCCAGCTCGTTCTCGGTGGTTCCCAGCAGACCGGGCTGCTGCTTGGCGTGCTCACCACCCTATTGTGTCTGGATTAGCTGGGGGGTTCTTGGCGAGGGCGGGGAACGAAGCTATTCGGGTACTTACGTCATAGAGGACCATAAGAATCTTGCCCTGTAGGTTCGCAGAGGCGGTTAGCGTACGTGCACCAGCAATCGAGTTGGCCAGAGGAGCAGCCCGGAAGGGGCTGCTGGCCGCAGGCGTGAAAGCTCCCTTGGTGGAAAGGAGTGAGGTGGCAGGGCGCCGGAGTTGGCGGGAGAAAGAGCGCATAAATACCATTTTGAAGATGAGTTATTGGATAAAGAATTGAAGGATGGAAGTTTGGAAGATGATGGGGTCCTAGGACAGGAGGGTTAGCTTGTCACTTAAATACATCCCAGATTGGAGACGTCGGCGTAGGATCATGGAGGGACGCATCGGGTTGTAATTCGGAGAAACCGAATGAGAGGCAACAGCAGCACCAGCAGCAGTAACAGCAACAGCACCAGGGGAAAGCGGGGAGACGGGTGAGTGTGGAGAAGCAGCCATCATCGCAGACCAGACAGGAGTCGATGAGCACTACAGGGGGGGGGAGAGGCTTACCGAATGCAGTGACGGATGAGATAACCTTGGTCGCCGCGGAGGTTGAGCAAAGTATGATGCTTGAGAGAGATGAGGAGGATGAGGAGGAAAAAGCCACCAGGAAGACGGGGAATTTAGCCCAATATATAGACTTTGCTGGGTCCTTTTTTGAGCACTACTACTAGTACTGCGTAAGAACCCCTCCGTGGCTATGTTTCCATCACGGACTCCATCCACGCCTGATAGGACTGCTGGGCTCAAGCAGAAGCTCAGTCGCCTTGGAGGGTGGGAACCTCGATGGAACCTCGGGTGGGAACTCCAGCCAAAGTTGGAGGTCAAACCCCCACCAGTCACCTCCCCCAGCGGCTGTTTTGCATCGACACCGGCGACGGGTCGGACACCTTGTTCTCCGCACGCGGGACGACTACTACTAGTTAATGGTACTAGTACCATATTCCGTACCTACACTATCTATCGGCCTTCGGGTTAAGTTTGTATAGATTGATATCGTCGAAGCTTGTAACCCACCTGGGGCCGCTGACACATTTGATGGGCAATTAGTTACGGGGTAGACCACTGTCTCCAATCTTGGTCGTAGTATTGAAATGCCATCCAGCAGCAATGGGAACTTCCTCCTGCAGGGGGGTTCCAACGGCCATGCGGGGCTCTCGAAGGCAATGCTGACATGATGCCAGCCTGGAAGCTGGATGGCCGGTGAGGGGAACCCGAGCCAGGGCCGAACAGGTTGCCTCCCGGCGCTATGTCGGGCGTGGCCTCGTAGGGTAGGCGGCTAAACCTGCCTGCCATCGGCAGGGGACCTTGGACCTTCCGGGTTGCCCCTGTCCCACTCGGATAAGAGCAGAGACAAGGATCTTTTAGCTCAATCCAGCCGTCGGCGGACAGTATTACTCCTTCCTGGGCCTGGGAGCCTTCCGCCCGCCCCGCATTATCCCGGATCGGGATAGCTGTGCCTTCCCCTCACGAGGGGATGCGCCGGGATCCGCCACCATTCCGGACTGGGACTAGCGGCTGGACTCGATGAGGGGAACCCCCTCACCCCCAATCGGACACCTAAGAGCAGTTGGCCATCCCAGGTGAATCGAATGCTACTCAACCGCCAGACTCGGAATCTTCAGTGCCGTCGATAGCCTGATTCCTCTCATTCTGGGCCGGTCACTGCGATCCGCCTAATCTGCTGAGGGGAGGCCAATGGGGAGAGAAGATAGTGGCTGATTCCTCCGCAATCCGCCCCGAATCCTGTCCCAAGCTCTCCGCAGATAAACCCAGCCCCAGCTGGCACTTGTCGCATGAAATGCCTCAATTTACTGCCTTCCAAGTACCGAGCTACCCCCGTATTTCAGCCGAACCAAATCCCTCGGAGTTGGGTGTATCAGTCTCAAAAATGGAGACCCGCTCCCTGTCAAACGCTGTCAACACTACATCACCGTGGGCGCCCATGAGGGGAAGCGTCTCCACCTCCTCATCTGAATGGCGCGTCGCCCTTCCGGCCACATCACGCGATGATTTCGTTGGCCCCAACTTTTTCGTGCCCGCAGGGTAGCCACGGCATCCATCCGGATTCACGGAACTCAACTGATCAGGAAATACGCCATCGTCGGCGGACGAACGGCCTTCCCCAATTTCGCCCAATTTCATAGGCACGTCAGCCAATTCCTCTCCCCCCAAGGTATCGACAGAACCGACCTCGCTTCAGGACTGCCGCTTTGCGATCGACAGCGTTACAGGAGTTGAGTTGGCTTCGTCTAGTATACAGGCACCAGTCTATCGCTACAGGCTTTCGCGGATTATAATTTACAACAGGTTTCCAGATGCTGGATGACCGCGCTAGAACACGACATTGACCAACTTGCCGCCCTTGACGACAATCACCCGTCTCCGTTTCTCCCAATCGTTCTTTTTCCGCAGCCATAACCGTCCTTCGTCGGTCTCCAGGATCCGATTGATGATCCAGTCTTGTTCGTCGGTGACGGTGTCACTGGGTTCGGCCGGCGTCGTGGGGGAAAGCCGCCGGGGAACCGTGATGGTAAACCGCAATTTGCCATTGATCTGAACGGCAACGGTTTGACCGCCACGCGCAGACAGAATGTCGGCGTCCGCGGAGCTCAGAAGAGGGGTTGGCCAGGGACAGTCCAGGATGGCCAGGACACTGCCAGTGGTGGATGCGCCGGCGGGGTTCCCCGCAGTCACGGGATCATGGAGGATCTCCCAACATTCGGACGCCAGCGCGGGGGCAATGGGAGACAGAAGTCGAAGAAGAGACGAGAGGGATAGATAGAGAACCTGCGGCGAGCTGGGCGCCGATGACCACAAGGAGTTGGTCAACTTGGTCAGGTCGGAGATGACGGTGTTCAGCCCGTAGGGGTTCTTCTCAATGCAGCTGGTGACGGAGCAGATGGTGCGGTGGGTCGAAAGCACGGCGTTCGCATCGCTGTCGCTCAAATCTTGTAAAGAGCCGGGAAGGCCGGTCGCATGGCCGGAGGAAGCACCTAGGTCTTCTGGCTTCAGGGTAAACGAGGACGACGCCAGAGTTTGCTGCGCATCGATCACCAGCTTCCAGAGCCGACCAAACCAGCGCTCAATGCCCACGATCTTCGTCTCGTCCCATTCCAGCACCTCGCTGACCGGAGCAGAGAAGAGAATATGGGCACGGGTGGTGTCGGCGCCGTACTTCAACACGCATCCGGTCGGGTCAACACCGTTGTGCTTGCTCTTCGACATCTTCTCAAAGGACACGGTCGGGGTTATTTGGGTGCCCTTGATAAGCGGCTTATCGGGGCTGGAGAGATCCACTTCGGAAGGGAGCAGGAATCGACCCGTGGACGGCTCTGAGTACGTCTTGCCGTGAACCATCCCCTGCGAGAGGAGAGTCTTGAACGGTTCAAACGGCGTCGCAACATTACCGGTCCGAGCGAGTTCTGGAAATAGCTCGGACTGCGAGAGGGACTTGTAGATGAATCGAGCGTAAAGCAGGTGCAAGATCGCGTGTTCAACGCCGCCAATGTAGACATCAACCGGTCGCACGGCCGAGGGCGAAAACGGCTGTTCCTTGTTTGCCGGGTCCAAGTATCGGAGATAGTACCACGAAGAGTCGACAAAGGTGTCCATGGTGTCCGTATCCCGCTTCGCAGGGCCTCCGCAACTAGGACATTTTGTGTTCACCCACTCATGCGATGACTCAAGAGGATTGCCTCTCTTGCCTTTCAGCCAGTCGCCTTCGATTTTGGGCAGCTTGACAGGGAGCTGGTCTGCTGGTACAGGTACAGGCCCGCAATCACCGCAATGGATGATCGGGATGGGAGTGCCCCAATAGCGCTGTCTGCTGATCAACCAGTCTCTGAGTCTCCATTGTTCAACAAAGTCGCCGCGCCCAACCTGCTTCAGGTCGGTGACGATCTGCTTCTTGGCCTCGCGAGAAGGGAGGCCCTCGTACTTCCAGCACAAAGAGTTCAAATAACCCTCCTGCGTGAAAGCCTTCGCATCGGCAGAGGAAACGATGCCCGCGCCGGTCCCACCGTTGGCCCCATCCTCTCCTCGAGGTTCAACGACGATGGGTATTGAATCGGGGTTCACATTGTCGCGGAAAAAGGCGAGATCTCTGGAATCGTGGCCTGGGACTCCCATCACCGCCCCCTCTCCATAGTCGCTAAGGACATAGGGGGCTGCAAATATGGGTAGTTGACGAGCAACGTGGGGGCTCTCTTTGTCAATAACATGCAGAGGGTGGGAAGCAGTGACGCTCGACAATCTATAGCCAGCTTTCGAGTCAGGCGGAAGCGACGCAGCAGTGTCGAGAAATTTGCGCAACTCCGGGTCCTTCTCTGCAGCCTTCAAGACAATGGGATGGTTGAGAGAAAGAGCGAGGTACTCGACTCCGTAAAGGGTATCTGGCCGCGTGGTGAAAACATCGATATCGAGGTCCGTGCTATTATTGCTCTCGACAGTCACAGGGAACTTGATCTTTGCACCCTGCGATTTCCCAATCCAGTTTCGTTGCATGGAAAGCACTCGCTCCGGCCAGCCGCCCGCCAAGGAATCAAGATCCTTCAAGAGCATCTCCTTGAATGCGGTGATACGGAAGAACCATTGCTTTAACTTCAGCTTCTCAACCTTGGCTCCCGAGCGCCAAGAGCAGCCGTTGGCATCGACCTGAAACAAGAGTAAGTCTCGTGAGTTCCGTATGTAATGCACACCACAACACCCACCTGCTCATTAGCCAGCACCGTCTTATCCACGGGGTCATAGTTGACTACCGCTTCAGCCTGGTATGCAAGTCCCTTCTCGTAGAGCATCAGGAATATCCGTTGGGTGTGTTCGTAAAATTCCGGTGCGCACGTCGCAAGTTCCTGCGTTCATCAACCGAGTTGTCAGAAGAGCAATCTGCCATGTAGCCTGCGCAAGCATACATACCCGGTCCCAGTCAATAGAAGTTGAAATACTCCGCAGCTGCTCCTTCATCTTCGATATGTTACTCTTCGTCCATTCCGCCGGGTCTATCCCGCGTTCAATCGCCGCATTCTCTGCGGGCAAGCCAAACGCATCCCAGCCCATTGGATGAAGAACCTCATGCCCCCGCATCCGGTAGAACCTAGCCAGCACATCGGATATCGTATATACGCGAAGGTGCCCCATGTGCAACGTTCCCGACGGGTAAGGGAACATCGACAGGATATATGATTTGGGTTTTCCGTCCACCTCCGCCTTGGTAGGCGAATTCAGGGCATCCGTATGCCATTTCTCCTGCCATTTCTTATCCAGGGTGCGTAAGTCGAGCTTCTTGGAGATTGACGTTGCAGCTGCGGTGGTTGTCGCATATCGAGAAACAGTCGGTGCTAGGATCGGACGAGGCGCGCACCTCCACCGGGGTTGTATGAGGGCCGACCGAGTCGGACTCAATCGGAAACGTAATATGGATTGCATGTTGGCCTTGTAATCATTATGCCGTGGAAAGGGAATGTTGCGCCATTGACTGGCGTGGATTCGTGAATTCGTGGATTGGAGAGCCGGAGTGGCAGAATATCCGTCAAGAATTATTTATCGGAGGACTGAAGTCATACCGGCGGATCGGCATCGCCCGATGGGGATTAGCGGTCTTGCGGTCACGGTCATCGACGACACTGAGCAACATAACAACATGATGGAATTTGGTGAGGACCGTGACTGCGGAAGGTTTAACTATTTCTTTGGGGGCTGTTTTCATTCGAATGAGCATGTCTGTAGTTCTCTAGGGATGGGTCTCGAGTGTCAAGGAGGTTCGATTTTTCCGCCAGGCTAAAATATATACTTCATCCTAGTTACTCCATAGTGTTTTGCTAATCAACCATCGACATTCCCTGCCATCCCAAAAGATCCGTCTTAGGGACCACAGTGTTTCGTTGGAGCGGTGGATTTGGACTCTGCCTGAGAGCACTTTCACAGTCTAGAACATGTGGACTCACCTGCACTGTAGAAGAGCTGAGCCGTGAGGTCGGATTGTGGTTGATTGTGGTTGATTGTAAGTGAACCATCTTGCCTATAGTGGATTTTAGTAACACATCTATTGTCAAGTGATTTCTTTTCTGACTTTCACTTTACTTCACTCACTTTGATACTGAATCATTCTCCATCTTGGTCCTCTTCTCACCCACCATACCTCTTCCCTTCTTCACACCTCCTGTCCTTTACCTCTCGTTCTCGTCGACCCTTGCTAGTCGCTTCTAACACAGTGTGTGTCGGCTCGCTCTGTTCCTCTCAACCTGATAGCATCTCCATAATCGGATCTTCATTATCAGTCCTCAAGTTTCTTGCTCTCATTGGTCCAAGGTCAGTCCCGAAAGCCTAGAGTAGTACTACGTCACCCTTGACTCACCAATCAAGCTTGCAGATGTCGTCTCTACTGTCCAAATCCACTTCTCGCTCAAAGTCCAGAGCAGAATCGACGCCAGCGACTGGGGCATCATCGGTCGGGTCCACCCCTAGCACGTCTCGCCACTCCGTTATGACCTCCTCGCAGCTCGCCATGACAGGATTGTATCCTCCGCAGACTTACAAGAACTTAAATGAGCTCGCCAAGACCGTCGCAGCCACGAAGGAAAAGCTCAAGTCTCAGGATATTAGCCCGTATCTGTCATTTAAGCATGTTTCTGCTCAGGATTTCAAATTCTTAGACGAAAATCGAGCAAAATTGTGCAACACCGTTCGTCTGAGCTACTTCGGAGATATATCAGTGTTAATTATCAAGCTGGTTACTCCCGAGCACGAGACTGCTCACAATCAACTTGCTCAAGTACTTGCTCCAATAATCCTCAGGGATATGGGCGTCGATGAAGACGAGTGGCTGGCCCAGGGGGCAAAGCGCTATACGGGTCAGAATGCTTCAGAGAAAGAGGCTGATAGGTCGTGGAGAAATGTGAACCTAAGACCAGCTCGCGGTTCGTGGCCTCATTTTGTGATAGAAGCCGGCGTATCCGAGTCCATGCCTCGCCTACGCCAGGATGCTGCATGGTGGATCAGTCATTCGGGTGGCCATGTACTTCTGGTCCTGCTGATCAAAGTTTCCACGACAACCAAGACTATAATCTTTGAGAAATACTTTCCGAAACCACGAGCTCAGCCTGGTACGAGAGCGCGAACTACTTGGGGCCCCATCTGGGAACCTGAACTGATTTCGACTACGGAAGTTCGACATGGAGCAAAACCTACTGTACAAGGCGCCCCCATCGTGCTAGAATTTGATCGTGTCATCGGTAGACCCCCGGTCCAACCTGAGCAGGATATTCTCTATACGGATCGAATGCTGTTACGCCTGGCTCGTCAAGTCCTCGACAATTGATGAGGCACCGGGTGGTTGCTGTCAAGACAATCATGAGGATTCGAGGACGATGCTTGTCTTTGGCATTTCACGCTTGAGGTTGTGCTTACAGTATTTCCTATTTTCTTCGAAAATTGCGTGTTCTCCAACATCTCAGGTTATGGCGTCTGCTCACTGCTTTCGCATGATTACAACGATCGGTAATGTTTACCATACTAGGGACACGCGGCAGTACGCGGAAGATAGTGGTTGTTCAGAGAGTGGTGCTTTCAGTAGTCTTCACCCTAGGAATTATCTAGTACCATGCCAAAACTGACAAATTTGGTTGATTGAACCTTGCCAACCAAACCAAGAATGCGAGACCGAGAAAAGGACTTAACAATCCAACCAATAACAGGGGTGGGATGCACGCGGCAAAGGGCTCGGCACCTACCCGACCTTACACAGTACAGAGCCCCCTTTGAACACAGTCTGGAGTACGGAGTATATACGCCCGTCCGGCGGAGTACACTTTCCCATAGTGGTGGTACACGGAAAGTAGTACTTTCCGTGCTTCCGCTCCGCTCCGCAATTTGAGCAGCTCCGACTCGTCATCACCGCCGTTCATCCACTGCATGCGCCGGGAGATCCCGTTGTCATCGCCAAGATCCGATTTCGATAGAGCATCTCGATTCTTGTATGGAGTGCTGGACCCTTTTCCCGGGACTTCGAGTACTGTGGTTCATGTATACGCGAACGCCTGTTCCACGGGATCATATTCCCTCGAAAGGGGGTCTAGTAGGCTACTACGGAGTAGTAGTCGAGTAATCTCTATGCGGCCCCGCCGACGGACTACACCGTCGGCATTCCCCAATTGATCAGGGTGAATTTATTTCTGAGTCAATCTATTCCGTACTTTGTTTTAGGTACGGAGTATGAAGACTCGGTTCCTGGCTCAGCCGCCTCCTTTTCCCGTGCTGATACGGAGTAATGATTCACTGAGTACTTCACACGGCGGCTCGTAAATATAGTCTTTCGATTCTGGTTCCAGGGGAAAAGGGGAAGAAACCCATGGAAAAGGTCTTGTTCCTGAAGAGTTCCATCTTGCGGCTGAAGCCGGCCGACGCTCTAGACCGTTCATCCTTTCATACATACGTGCCCCGTGTTTTATGGGAGATTGTCCAGTCCTTCATTCGCGCCACCAACGGGGCATTATGAAGTCGCGGTGGCCTACGGAGTAAATGCCGTGGATTTGACTTCTGGCGCCCTGATGAAGCTCGTGTCCTACAGACTCGATAGATCTACGACCAACAATTGGGGTCTAGACAAAGTTCGCTAGACGAAGAAGCCCAACGATGACTGTAATAGGAGAGAGCCGAGAGTTCTGCATCATGGTGTGAGAGGGCATGGACCATGGATCGGGAATTCGATCGATCTCCGTCCTATGGGGATATTACGACTCGTGCCGGGACGCGAAAGAGATTATGAGGGGATTGTGTATGCCTGGAAGTCATGCCTAAGGATTCAGGCAAGAACGTAGGGGGTCACGGGCGGCAAGTGGGCATTTCGGGCTGGCCGACCTTGGATCGCGAGGCCCAAATCCTCCACCAGAGCTCCCGCCCGTTCGATTGATCCCATCATCCCAGAGTTATGCTCATTGCTCCATTTCTTGCGGTTCCCGCTTCGATCTCTGGGTACAGTGGGCGGATCGGAGGCCTCGGATATGGACCTCCATCTTTCCCCATCCATGAACCATGGGCGCAGGGTTTCTATTAGTACTTTGGAATCTTCCATGGCTATCGGGTTATCAGCATGACTAAAATCGTCATCGTCCCCCCCACCCTCGTCACCCTTGGGCAAAGTGGTTAATTAAGCAACTCTGGTAGCTCACCTCGCTAGTTCTAACCGGCCTGACAGACTCCACTTGGGATGAGTTGGCAACCTTAGGATGATCCTTAGCTGTCGGCCTTTCAGGTTTCTCTCCAATTGCCCCTTATTATTGGGCTGTACCCATGCCAAAAAGACCGAATTTCCCCTGACCACTGCCAATGAGACGTTCTGGAATCGCCCGCCTACCTCAACCCCTCCGCCACATCATCTCAGTGGATCTCGATCGCCGGTTCCTGTCGTCCTCCCTCGGGGCCTCGAGGCCTCCTCGCACTCCACTGTTTGGACTGGTCACAATCGGGTCGGATGCCTCGTGCGACCGATGGGAGAGCCAAGGCCCCCAAATGTGACGAGGGCCTAAAGCGTACATCTGGGTGGATGAATAGGTCGTGCCTGCAGCACATGCGCTGCATCTTTTATGTACGCCCGTGAGACCTTGCATTTCAGCCATGGGGATTATTTCAGCCAACCGACGTGCTCGTCGTCCTCGTTCCTGCGTCTACACAGGTTAGGGGATGGATCCCCGGTGGGCTGGGGATTTCAAAATATGCCCCGGTCCCCTTAATCTTCGAACTCATGGTCTGAGTGCGTTTGATTGTGCCCGGGGATATTATTAGACTGAACCGTGGCGAGGCGTCCAGCATAATTTCGTATTCGTGGGAAGCATCCTTATGAAGAGGCTTATGATTCGAGCTGATTGGCGATCCGCGACCCTATGTCTTGAAGGTGGATGACGAGGAAGCGTCTGGAGCCCGAGAGGAGCTGCTAGTTCCAGACCCTCCTGGCGGCCATCCCGCGATCCCCGTTACTTGCCAGGCGAATTGGGAGGCGGGCGTCCTCCCCAAAGCAGGTGGACAAGCGACGAGCTGCAGGACCATTCCTTATCCGCCAATCGTGCGGTTTCAAATGCGCGCTCTAGAGCATGCAGCCTGCAGACCCCTGGATCTCGATTCCCTGCCGGGGGGGCTCAGGCGACGCTCAATCGCTGCTCATTCACCGCCGCTGGAGGGCCGAAGTCCGGGGGGGGGCCTTTAAATATTAGCCCTTGTCCTACGGCCAGCTCGTCGTTTCAGGTGGTGATCCCTTTCCTTCCACTCGTTGTGTCCTTCGTCGCTCTTTTGGAAACGGCTGGCTTTGGGGCTTACCGTGCTTTTCTGGTCTCGGGTTAGACACTCATTTTAGTTTTCGTTCTCTGGTTCCTGTTCCCGCCGGTCGCCATGACTCGCTAATTCAACTACTGGCATTTTCTGTCGGATCCACTCTCTTTGGCTGCTCATGTCCGTTGGACAGCGTTATCCGCTCTCTTCCCGTCGTTCTGTGTCGAGGCATTCTTTATTGCATCATAAAATTCCATAGACAACCACCATCGCTACCACCACTACCTCCACCACAATAAACATCCCCCCCGCGCTCGTGGGCCCGTCGGGGTTGTCGCTCCCTTTCCCAACCGAGCAGCCCGTCGATGATCTTTCATCGCTTTTAGCTTGTGTTCTTCTAGATCCTGCTGCCCCCCCCTCCCCTCGTGTCTATCCGCGTGGGATTCTTTTCGTGTTATCGTGTTTAGCCGTTTTTCGTGTTGTTCGTTGGTTCCTCCGGTCCCTCTGGGGAACCCCATTTCTACAAGCTTAATATTGGTGTCTACTGATAATGAACTAATCATCCCAACATGCGCTCCGCTGCACCTACAACCAACTCTCCTCCCCGGAGAGCTCTCCACGAGCGCAGCCCCTCTCATGCGAACGAGAACTCCCCGCCTGCATCCTTGCGCGCCGTCAGCGACAGGTACAATGATCAGGAAGAACCCGATGTTTACTCGGCCACGCCCTACCCGACCAAGCCCGAGCAGATCCTCCTGCCGCGACCCGGGAAGGGCCAAGATTTCATCCCAGATTCCCGGTTCCATCTCGATGAAGCACCGGACCACTATGCGGGGAACACATCCACGGAGATCAGCCACATTGCGGATAGTAGTCTGATCGACCAGTCGCTGAGCGATCCCTGGGACTTGTCTTCCACGTTCGATGCCGCAAACACCCCGTCGCAGGTCTGGGAGGATGATCCGTCTTCAAGCAAGTCTTCATTCCCGGACCCGGAGCTTCACGACCACAAGCCCATCGACCAGAAATCGGATGAGGGTTCCGTCGCCGCGTATTCGGATGAGGAGCCTAACACCCTGCCCAGGGCCGCCCCGACAATCAAGACGATCGTGTCGCAGACCCCGTCACGGAACCCATCTGGCCCGGAGACAGTTGCGTCCAGCAACTCCAGCCCCAATGTGGTGCCCATTGGGCCGCCTTCCAGTCCCAACTTCGTGGCGCTCGACAGTTCGAGTCTGAACTTCATTCCTCTTGGGGCATCTTCCAATCCGGGCTCCGTCACGCGTTCGAACTCCCTGTCCTCGTTAAACTCTTTGGGAACGGTGATCCGATATATCGGAGCCGCTCAATGGACACATGGGTCGTCTTCGGAACAATCCAGCTCGCGCTCACGTTCGCAGTCGGTCCGCTCCAACCCCCCCTACCAGGTACCTTCGCTGCGATCCAATTCCATCCAAGCGCGGGAACGGAGCCACTCCCGCTCGGTCACCTCGTCGCACTCCCGCTCTCTCACTTCATCATCCCGAAGCGGACCACCCTCGGACATCCAGGCCATCGTCGATAGCGGGGTGTTCATCCAATACCCGACCATCCAAGCCCCGTCATCATCGAGCTCCAGAGTGGACGTGTCAAACTCGGAAGATGCGTTAGATTCTAATCCACAGGAACCTACGGGGGATTATTCTTCAGAGCGCTTCAAATCTCACCTATCAACGGTCCCTTCCATGTGGTCCGCCGAATGTGATTCCAGGAGCATTTCCCCGGCCGCGGATTCTTTCGACAATAGTCAGGGGGAGCCCAAACGGCCTTCTGCGGCGCTAGTGCGCCAGAGACCAACGTCATCTTCGATGTGGTTAGTGAATGATTCGGACGGCGACGAGCAAATGGACAACATCTCTAGCTTGCCGGCACGCCCCTCCAACCCGGCGGTGCCCTGCAGCGTTTCCTCGGAGTCGAGACGGAGCAGCATGCGGAGTAACATGCGTCCTCCCACCAGTGGAAGCTTTTCCTTCCACGTCCTGCCGAACTGGGCCAAGATGTATTATCGCTCCGACGAGCAAACTGCGGACTCGGTCTTATCTGCAGGCGAAGCGAGTCGTCCACCATCTGCGCGCGCCTCCACCTCCCACACGAATGCTCTCCACCGCATGCCGACAGCTGCTAGCCGGGCGAGGACGTTCACCAGCGAAATGCGAGAAGTGCGGTGGAAGCCTGACCCGCGCGACCCGCGGAGCCACTGGGTCAGGGAACCCGAACCACAGAGCCGGGAGGCGTCTCGTCATCGACTGCGGCACAGCTGGTCCCCACATCTATTCCCCGACAGGCGCGCTGTTAATCCCCGGAAAGGTACTTGGGGCGCGCCATCGTTGGATTCTCGGACGGAGCCTCTGCTTGGTCGCAGAAACATCCAAGTGTGGTCGTTCTGCGTGGGCTTTGTTTTTCCGCTTGGTATGCCTCCCTTTGTGCCCCCGTGATATCGTTCTGGAATGTTACTTACCATCTTTCTTAGCCTGGTTAATCGCATCATTCCTCCCTCTCCCGAAGAAACCGGACACGATTCCGGAGGAGGACGTTGAATCCCAACTCGAAATGACGCTTCGGATGCGATTGTTCGACCTGGAAAGAAGACGATATGAAAACGCCCGCTGGTGGAGAAAGCTGAACCGCTGGATGAACCCACTAGGGCTGGTGATTATCACCATCGTCGTACGTATCCACGACTGTTTGTACGGGACGGGCTCGGCGCTAATACTTGCACAGGTCACCTTGGCTGTTGTGGGCACAACAGTGGGCTTCTAGTAAGGTGCATCTGGCCCCGTAAAGCCAGTATGTCCATCAGCTAGCTTATGCCCATCCGTCCATGACGTCCTCTATTGTTGCTTGTATTACTGTTCACACCTTTGCACCCCCTCGGCGGCTATGCCTGCCCTGGGTCTCGATTGGATCGATCATTGCTTTCGCCGTTTGGAGTCGATTCCTCCATTTATACCCCCTTCTCTTCGCATGCTACCTTCCCCCATACCCTTGCGCGCTTGATCTTGCCGCATCTCTATTCCCCGCGGCTGCTTGGTTGCTTTGCCTTCTCAAAACACTCGACACGACTGGACGACGTAATGCTTCTAATGTTCTTTTCTTTTGTGCCTTATATTCCACATGGTGTTTTGGACTCTTTTCAGCCCGCCCTTGAACCATGATTTGGTGGAACAACGGGATGGTTCAATCTGGGAGCGTGAGGCGACGGAAATCATTAATTGGGGTTCACGACACTTGATGGATATATGCCAATTTCCTTGTTTTTTTTTTTCTTTTCACATTTTTCTTATCTCTTCCCTTCTATCCCATGTACTTATGGATACATGTTTACTTATGACACCGTGACTAGAAAACCAATATCACAGTATATATACAAGTTGCTGCCACGCTTCGCGCAGCGCACTTGACTGACTACCTATACACGTTCCCGACTCGTTGAAATTCCTCTTAGTTCCCGTAATTCGAATGATTATCGTGAATGAAACAATGATGTCACTGGTTTCAGCCAGGTAGGTCTAGACCGTCGTATACGGATGCATACCTCTAGCAAGTTTCTTGGGGCTGGTGAATATATGAAATAGAAAATGAAGAGAAATTATGCCAAGCTAGTGCCTGGGATTGATATGATGATCCACTAATGCGAGTCGTCGTATCGAATGAGCATGAAAAAAGCATATGCGGGAAATCAATGTGCTAAGGAAGGACAGGCGCCAAAGAATGGACATCAAACAAAGAACACCCCGGAAGGGGGGATACCCAAAGAGGCTTCCCAAAACAAAATGGATGCTCGAACGGGAACGTGCAGCAGCTGCGGGCAACGCATCAAAGTCTAATATACATACTCTATTCTCATCCACCCCATCAGTCATCAAGTCAAATGGTTGCAAGCTCAGCTTGGGTTGCGAGATGAACTCCAACAGGACCGAGTCTGTGACCCGGTATGGGTCATCTAGCAAGTCACCCGATCGGGACGATCATGAGAGCTTGCGACCGATCTTGCTTTCCACGACCGCCTTGAGCTCCTCACCGGTCGGCATGGTCACGGCGCTACCGCGTCGGCGCCGGGATTCAATCTCACTCCGGATCTCCTGCACGGCCTCATCGAAGGCTTGCACAGCATCACTCGGGAGGCCCAGGGTCGGCTGCTGCAGGGCGTCGGAGCTGGTCGAGCGGGTGACGTGGGGTCGGTTGCGCGACTTGAGCTTCTGGATGAGGATGCCCTTGGCGGGGCTGGCGAAGAACGCAAGACTGAGGATGTTGCCGACAATTCCGTAAAAGTAGACGTTCCGCCAGACGCCGATGGAGGTGCTGAACGACAGGAAGATAAAGGGCATCACGGTGAAGGACATTGTGAGCTGGGTCGTGAACCAGCTCACAATGTCATAGTAACGCTTGTAGGGGGTCGGCTTGCTACCGTCCGGCGTGAGAAAGAAGGGACGGACATACCGACGGAAGTCTGCACATGTCAGGAGAGGAAGCAATAGAAGGGTAATAAGGAGAGGAAGACATACTCTTGGCTCCCGTCTGGATGAAAGATCCGAGGATGAAGGTCAGATAGTACCCTGGGTAGAAACCATGCCAGAAAGCGCTGGTCGCAAACGTGGCGATGCTGGCACGGAAGCCAGGCTTCTTTCCCCTGGGAGTGACGCGCAGATAGACGTAGTTGCGCAGCCAGTGGTTGGTGTTCTTGTTCCAGCTGCCCAGATACCCATGCGAGTTCTGGGCGGTCTCCAGCTTCCATGCGTCGATATTCTCCAACCGGTTCCAGAAGACCTTGCCCGACTTGGGGTCAAATCCATTGTATCCCATGCCGGACAAGATGCAGGCACCTTCCGTCAAAGACCAAACCCCGTAGTACTTGAGCCGTGTGGTGAGTCCGACCATGTGCATAATCCAGACCCGTCGAGGGAAGGAATATTCCATGTATCCGGGACTTAGGATCGCCTCCTGATTGTAGTAGGCCCCCAATTGCAGGAATGCGAAGATCCAACCCAGGCCAATTAGGGCTTTCTTGGTGGCAGGAGTTCCGCTCCGGGGAATCTTGCGCTTCTTCCGGGTGGGAGGCACCTTCGAAGGGTCCGTTCCCGGAGGGATATCGAAGAGAGTGGTATCGAGCCAGCGCCGGTAGTCGACATATTCGAAAGACGGACCGCCGAAAAGCGCGGGGAAGAACAACACGTAGCCGGTATAATCCAGGATGCTGGGGAATTGAGTGATCGCAGCATATTTCTGGGGATCTGAGAGCTGGCTCTGCGGCAGTCGACCATCATGGACGTTCCAACAGAAGGATGAGAGCTTCATGACGAGCACCATCTGGGCCCCGGTGATATCTATCGTTTGGGGGTCGTTGAGGATCTGGCGATAGATGTGGCTGATGGACATGTGGCCCATCAAGAAGATGAAGCCTATCCAGGGCATCAGGGAGCCATCGATGTAGTAGGCGATCAGGTAAGTCCCAGCGGCGCTATAGAACAGAGTGCGGAGGCCGTCCCACAGGTCGAACAGGCCGACGATATAGAACAAGGAGACGGCGATGATGAAGGCATTTTTCTTCCAGGGCTGAGCATCCGGGATTCGCTTCAGCAAGCCGGCGAGAGGATAGGACAGCAGGAATGACGCAATGAGCTTCACTGTACCCGAAAGTATAACCCATCAGCGGCGAGGTCGAGATGGACCGGGGAGGGGAGACGTACACTCATCGATCGAAGCTCCCGTAGCTTTCGCTGGGTAGTCGAAGACTGGCCAGAGACATGGTTAGCATGGTTCCTTGCCTACCCTGAAGGAGGGGCGCGTCCCAAGTGCTGAGATGCTGCCAGGCGGACTCAAACTTACGGAGGTTAATGTAGGGCAACATGATGGCCGAAAATCGCAGCCACGGCAAAGGGGGGAAAACAAAAGAAAAAAGCGTCAAAGTCAGCGGAGTCGGCACGACATTGAGTCAAGCCGAGTGAGATCTTGACCGACGGAGGGAGAGAGAAGAGGGAGGTTGAAGAGATGAGAGGAGAGGAAGCGGCGCAAGGGAAGGAAAGCCAACCAAACAAAAAAAAAGGCGGGCGGGTGGCATCATCACATGGTATGGGCCAGCCAGCTTTCCTCCCGCATAACTACTTACTACTTACTACTTACTATTCTCTCCATTCCAATACTTCTCCACCCTCATCCCCCCCCTATCGGTGCTTATGTTGCCACTCCTTCCTTATTGTCGCGCTTGAACTCCAATCCTCTCTTCTGATTCTTGAATCCTCTACGTCCCATCCAGCATGGACGTCGTCGCGGCGGTGTCGGGGTACATCTCCAAGATGGTCACCGCGGGGGACCCCTCCTCCTCCTCCTCGGCCAAGATGAAGATACTCCTCCTCGACAGTGAGACAGTGGGACTTGCGCTTCTCTCGTTGATGCCGGTGGCAGCGGTGCGCTAATCCTCCCTCGTTCAGGTCCCCATTGTGTCAACCGCCATCACCCAGTCCGCCCTCTTGAACCATGAAGTCTACCTCATCGACCGACTCGATAATGCCGCCCGGGAACGCATGCGACATCTCCGCTGCCTGTGCTTTGTGCGACCCTCCCCGACCTCCATCCAATTCCTGATCGACGAACTCCGCGAGCCCAAGTACGGCGAATACTACATCTACCTCAGCAACATCATTCGCAAATCCTCCCTCGAACGACTCGCCGAAGCAGATTCACACGAGGTGGTTCGTGTGGTCCAGGAGCACTTTGCCGACTTTCTCGTGATCAATCCCGATCTGTGTTCCATGAACTTGGGCTTCCCGCAGCAGCGCTTGTGGAGCCAGTCGCCAGACCTGTGGAATGCGGATGCCTTGCAGAGAGCAACGGAAGGCGTTATCGCCATGCTGTTGGCGCTGAAGAAGAACCCGTTAATCCGTTACGAGAAGAACAGTTTGTTGGCTAAGAAGCTGGCCACGGAGGTCCGCTATCAGTTAACGCAGGAGGAGCAGCTCTTCAATTTCCGCAAAACCGATACGCCACCGATTCTGCTGATCCTCGACCGCCGGGACGACCCTATCACGCCGCTGCTGACACAATGGACATACCAGGCCATGGTGCATGAGCTGATGGGCATCCACAACGGGCGCGTGGACCTCCGGGACGTCCCGGAGATTCGACCGGAGCTACGGGAGATTGTCCTTTCCCAGGATCAGGATCCGTTCTTCAAGAAGAACATGTACCAGAACTTCGGAGACCTTGGCCAGAACATCAAGGAGTATGTCGAGCAGTATCAGGTCAAAACGCAGAACACAATGAACATCGAGTCGATCTCGGATATGAAGCGCTTCGTGGAGGACTATCCCGAGTTCCGTAAACTATCCGGGAACGTCAGTAAGCATGTCACGCTGGTGGGAGAGCTCAGCCGGCGAGTGGGGGAGGAAGATCTGCTGGATGTCAGTGAGTTGGAACAAAGCTTGGCTTGCAATGACAACCACGCCAATGACCTCAAGGTATGGGTGCTCCATCTCCTGGAACCGAGCTAGCTGCGGAATCGACGGCTGACCGTCTCCCTGCAGAACTTACAACGCATAATCCAACTGCCCAGCGTCCCGGCGGAGAACAAGCTGCGACTAGTGGCACTGTACGCCATCCGCTACGAGAAGCAACCAAACAATGCGCTCCCGATCCTGCTCGATCTCATGGCCACCGCCGGCAATGTTCCTTCATACAAGGTCAACATCATCCCGAAACTACTCGCTTATCACCACTCCTTGCAAGCGCCGCCTGTTGCTGGTGGCTTTTCCGACCTCTTTGAATCAACCTCCCTCTTCTCCGGTGCCCGGGACCGGTTCAAGGGCCTGAAAGGCGTTGAAAACGTGTACACCCAGCACTCGCCCCGCTTGGAGGCAACCCTCCAAAATTTGATCAAAGGCCGTCTGAGGGAGTTGCAGTATCCCTTCCTCGAAGGTGGCGGCCATACGCGGGACAAGCCCCAGGATATCATCATCTTCATGGTGGGCGGAGCTACGTACGAAGAAGCCAAAATGGTCGCCCAAGTGAACGCCAGCTCGCCCGGCGTGCGAGTCGTCTTGGGTGGCACCTCCATCCACAACAGCACGAGCTTCCTCGAGGAAGTCGACGATGCTGTGAGCGGCTGGCCCGAGCCCAGCCCCTCGTCCGCCGCTGGACGGCTGCAGAGGGCCATCGGACATTAGCCTTGTTTCTTTAGCGTGGATTGATGTGCAATCTTTTCTCTTTCTGTATCTGTAATTTTCTATCTTATATCCTGGACGTTAGCCATGTTTGAACTCTCTCCCATGAGACTTTGAAAGCGAATCAAATTCCGTCCACCATGCGTATTGACAAGCTTTATCCCTGCATCAATACAGTGCACATGATACATGATATATGAATCATCAGCATCGTAACATGCCTGATCTAATCAGAAGAAGGGGGGGGGGGGGGAAATTAAGGAAGATAAAGTGAAATGTGATATACAAAAATTTATAATGATGACAATGATGTCTGCATTTACGTCGTGATTAAGAAGATGGGAATGAACATAGACAGACAGACAGCTTGCTGAAATAACGACACGACGAGACCACCACATCCTGTTCGCTGTATCCTCGACCGGCCCCTAACCTCTATGTGTAGATGTTTCAGTCATGGGCATTCATAACGCACGTCTCTTTGGCATGCCATATTCGTCTTTTCTTGGCCACGTCCGCCCCAAAGGTATCTGTGATCATGCCTTCGTCGTCGTGGAAGGCAGCCTGAGCTGGGGGTGGTGGTGGGTGAGAGGGATCGTCGTCGGAGACGGGAGCCGGTCTCAGGAGGCGGAGTTCCTCGACGGTGGCGCCGAATTCGTACTCGCCTCGACAGAGAACGGTGACGCCGACGGTGGCGGTTGTGCTTTCGCCGCTGTGTAGGATGGGGAGCACTTGTTGCAGCATTCCGGTCCAGGCGAGGCGTCGTGAAAGGTCCAGGGCGATATTGCTGGGTTGGTGGCGCAGGCTCGGCTGGAGGCGTAGAAGAGGGTGGATGGGCCGCGAGGAGCGGTTGACGACGGTGACGGTTAGGTTTAGCATGTCGTCGGTGTGGACATTGTACTTGGAGCGCCCGGTTTGGACGACGCTCTTGGCGTCGTCGGGGAATGAAGGTTCCAGGGAGAATGTCACGCCAAGGTCCTCTAACTGGAAGGCCTCGACCATGCGCGCATTTAAGCGTAGGTTACGCAGATCGATTATCCCTTCACGGACGCCTGTCTTCTCTTTCCAGAACCCGCAGACTCGTTGGAGGATCTCTTCCCGATACCAGAATGCTTCGCGTGTAGCCGCCTCGGCTTCGAAGGTGAGTTTGTTGGCACTGACGACAAATTGCCGCTTGACTCCCGTGTTCAAGATCGGGATGGGTGCATGGGGGTTGTCTAGATAGGCTCGAGGGAGAACAAGAACGAACCGTGACATCTGACCTGGCTGGAGCTCTCCGCGGACGGCATATTGGCCTTTTCCGTCTTCCGGCAATTGGGAAGGCCGTCCCACATCTGACTGCATCGGGTTCTCACTGACATGCAAGGATACCGACAAAGCGTTTGGCCAAGCGTTGCGAAGATCAAGGAGAAGAATACAGTGGTCGGGTCCATATCCACCTCGGGCGAGGTGAGAGAGTACTGGCGAGAACGGGTCATTCTCCGTCGATGGAGGTAGAGAACCGGCGCTGATTGGGCCAGTTTCGGTTTCTATCACGCTGTCGGGGCTGTTCCACCATGCAAAGTCGCTGCTAAGGGGTAGGATATCACATCGTGCGACCTCTATACTGGCATTGACCGTTGCAGTAAGTGGGACAAACAATTGACGGGTGTAGAACACGTCAGGTAAGTTCCCATGCGTAACTCCAATGCACGAATAATCAATCTGCACGGTGGTGTCCTGCAAGCCAGGTTTTCCAATGACATCAATGGTGAATGTGGCACTCTGGCCTGCTGGGATAGAGTGATCCTCAGGGTTCAACCCTTCTCGGCGCCACCGCAGCGCGGGTTTGGTCAGGTTCAGTTCCAACTCATATATCTCGACGGGCAGCAAGTCTTTGCTGCTGAGTGCCGACTGAACCTGTCTTGTGGTCGAGTCCTGGAAGGTAAAGAGGATAAAGTCGAGAGGGCAGGGCGAAGTGTTTCGGAGGGTAATGTTGAAGGAGCTTAGTTCACCCTCAAGGACCATGATCGCGGACTGGGACAGCGACAAGGACTCAATCACCAAGGATGGCTGTTGTCCAATGACTTTGACCTCGCAAACCGACGTTTCGGGGCCTTTTTTGGGAAGCTGTTTCCCATTCCTGGAAGTCGTTGAGCTCCACGAAAGTGGACGTTCCACGGTAGGCTTCTTGGCCGCCAACCCGGTTCGTTTGAATTTCCATTCTGCTTCAGGCTTCCAGAAGCTTTGGAATATCGGGAATTTGCGCTCCCTGCAGTGCCGAACCTTCACTATGCAGCCTGTGACCTTGAGCGCTCCCTCGCCGGTGGCTTTCCCATAGACTGTGATGTCTTGCACGCATAGTGGGGGAATCAGGATCCACTCGGCCACTGCGTCTAAAGATACACCGTCACTATCGAGGGCGAGCTTTTCGATCTCCAAGTCGAACTCATAAGGGTTTTGAAGTGTGACTTGGAATGCCGCAAATTCACCGGCAACCATCAACGACTCGGCAGCCTTGCCACTTGCTTTGGAGAAAGGGTTGTATAAGAATGGATCCTTCGTCGCCTTCTCACGACTAGCTGTAACAGCGTCTAGATCAGGTTTCGAGCGGCGAACAGGTCGCCTGGGATCTGGAAGAGCCAGCAGTTGAACACCGCGGACCAAGAAATCGTCCCAATACTCTGCCTCAAGCCCTGAGGCGCCTAATTTGTGGGCTGCACCAACAGTCCGCTTAATATTGTTCAAAAGTCGTATCTGTTCGTCTCGTGGTAAATAGGGTGGTTGGTAGTGGGATTCGGCAAGCATCAGATCCCCTCTGATGGTCTGGAGAAGTTCTACTGTGAACCGAAGCACGCCGCTAAAGTCGGGGAGGGCCTCGCAAGAGCTAATGCACGTTTTTAGAACATCAATCTTCAGGTTGAGGTCACCATATCCATCCAGAACGGTGTGTCGAAACGCCCGTTCAACAATGGCAGTGATCGAATCATATTCCGGGAAGGGTTCCGGTCCACCCGCAGTGGAGGACCGTCTCTTCTCCCATTCATAGACAGACGACGGCTGGACGCCATAGATGTCGCCTATAGTGGCAAGGAGCGAGCGCATGCTCTCCTCCATGTTCCCTGGACCAAGATCAAGGGCATTGATATCAAAAGCTGTGTCGCTGAGAGACGCCAATCCAGCGGCGGGATGAACTCCCACTTCTGCCGCGCCAATCTTGCGAGCCTGCACAAGTGTTGGAACCATGATGGATAGAAGCTCCCTCAATATGAAGGCCTTCTTTCGCGGTAGATCGAGCACATTCAGGACGGATACCACGCCAACTATGATAGGTATGGTGTCTGTTGGAGGCAGATCTGCGCTAGAGGAAAGAGGTAATGCGCGGAAAAGGAAGTTCGCAATCTCAGATTTGCGAAGAATGGTGAGACCACGAGGTCGTTCCGGTCGGTACAAAGGTGGGAGGGACTCATTCATAACGATATGCTTGAGGGCAACGTCATCCAGGGCGCCATCGCGAATACGAGCGGCCGCCAATAACCTTGCCAGACGAATCACTGTTTCCGAAAAGACAAGCTGAGGCAAAGGTTCGTCTGTGATGTTGGCGGCACGGTTGTAAAGATTCAATATATTGTTCGCAAGATCGGGTAATAGATTGGAGAGATTCTGAAGTGAGATTATGCGGTTCCCAGGAGATGATAAGCTCGTATCAAGACTACTGCTATATGATAGCTTTGAGGACTTGTCGGCAACAGGATAGCAAACGGGAGGGATCTGCTACGAATTAGCGATACAAAACAGATGTTGGGAATGGGGTGCGTACCTGAAAGTCCATCCCAGCCCAGGCGACCATCAATAGACAGAGGAGGATGGATTCCAGCGCTTTCGCATGCCACACGTAATCACTGCTTGCTCTAGCATTAGACGCGGCTTCAATGAGCTCTTTCAAAGCGTCCGGCCATCTGCCAGCTTGGAGGAACAGTGTCCCAACAACAACACCCGTACGACCTTTGATCCTGTTCTTAGTCCGGTCAGTCGCGCTCATGCCGCTCACAGACATTCGATCACGGCTGTGCTCCTTGGATGATGGCAGCGAATGCACCTTGCCCACCGAGTTGGAACGATTGGCTACTTGTATAGATCGGGTGATCTCATCAAAGGTGGTTGGAGTTTCATGGTCGCTTGGAGCCGGCGAGCCCTGGTTGGATCTCATAGGAGATTCGGTCGTACCGTTAGGGCTTGATGGGAGATGTGCAGGCATGGTCATCCGATGAAACAGCCTGTCGGTCGGCCGCGGGCGTATGTCAGGGCCGCGATGAGGACCCCAGGATGACGCCCTCGGCGATTCTATAGATGGTATACTTTGAATGGTTTTTGCAAACTCGTCTAGCTCAGAGAGTAGCACAGACGTAATATCACACAAGACTGTCTTCATTGTAGTGGCCTTCGACGCCTGAGGTCGTGGGATCCAAAGCACATCTCCCGGGCCGTTTGTGAGCTTGTTCACTCCTTCATAGTCGAAAATTAGGAGCTGGTGGACCAGCGCCCTGGGATTGGTCTCCCTGACTGCTTCCAGTTCCTGTCGAAGCTGCTCCAGCTCGCCCGGAGTTGGGGGCTGTTCGGCCGCAGATGCTGGTTCATCCTTCTTGACGCTTTCGCTAAGTTCGGCACCGTCGGCTATCGCAATGATCACCAGGGGCTCTCTAAAGATCTCGAAAGGAAATAGCTCTAGGTGGGATGTCGGAGGCACGGAGTAGGACAGGTCGTAAAGTATCATGCCGGTAGGGAAGGCCAGCGGGGAAAACATGTCTATCAAGAAAAACGGTCAATAACTGCCCCAGTTATGTCGGCGAGGAGCTTCCTCTACCGCAAGCATGAGAAATTGGGTGCTAGCCTACTTCGATTGGGTCGCGCATCAGGACTAATATCACCCAAGCGGACAACATTTTCGGCCTGAAGCCGTGCGGCGAAGCTCAGGAACCTCGAGCGTTTTATCTTGCCAATGGGTAGTAGCAGCGCCCGTAAGCGTACGGGCGCAATAGGGGAGAGAGGGTCGACCCCCATAGTGTCATCTGTGAGCAAGTGGAGAGGAGGCAATCGGCGATCTGCTCAGGACTGCGTCCGAAAGGGCGGGCAAGCTTCCGGAAGTCATACGAAGCGCTAAAAGCAACCAAATGTCGTAGAGGCCACGGAGTAACGAGAGATGCGGAGATTCTGCTCACGGTTTCATCGAACCCCGTTTGATAGAGCTGTGACCATAGGCCACTCCAACCAAATAAAAAAAAAGCACCTCCCACAAGATTTGAAAAACAACGAAGGACGAGTACAACAACCGCGGAGTTGATTGATACCGGCATCGGGCGTGCCTGTCGACCGCCGTAACCCCCCCGATGTCACGAGAGGCCCCGCTGACATAAGCGCCGCATATCTGATAAGGCCGATAACTTTAACTCCGCGCTGTCTCCGACAAGAAGGTCACTCTGTCGCCATCGACGCCCCCCCGTCTCTCCTTGGGGTCTCGTCTTCTCGCGGGCTCGACGTCCTCTTGGACCTCCCTTCTTCGCCTTGGTCTCCAGTATAACTTCCATTCTTTTGGATTCGATTTGTCAGCAGCTATATTTAATCCATAGACTCCGCTCTGTTGTCTAGGTTACAGGGTTATCGAGTACCGCCGCCCGCCGACGCATGACCAAAAGCCCCATGTCTTGATTCTTCCGCTGTTAGCTTGTTTGCCACGGTCTCTTTGGGATCGAGTACGTCAACTCACTCTTTTATGCCTCAAGTATGGCCCAAAAGATCGATTTCAACGCCCTCAGGGCGCGTACGATGGGATCGGGGAACGATGAGGAGGCGGTCACTGTTGATACACGAGGTCTCATTTCGAAAGTCCTCGCACGGTATTCGGGGAAATGGTATTCTTATAATTGCTGCCCTGATGAGCCAGAAAATGATCACTAATGGGGTACAAATAGGACGGTCCTGCGAGAGATGATCCAAAATGCGGCGGATGCTAATGCCACGAAAGTGACTATCAAGTTCGAGACGCTGCCATCGACGACGGTCCCACTGCCCTCGGCTGCCGACGACAGTACCTTGATCAAGCATACGATATCTAACCATACCCTGAAACGCCTCTTGATATCCAACAACGGTACCCCATTCAGTGAGAAGGATTGGGGAAGATTAAAGCGCATCGCCGATGGGAACCCCGACGAGACCAAAATCGGAGCCTTCGGTGTTGGCTTTTACAGTGTATTCGATGATTGCGAAGAGCCCTTCGTATCATCTGGGAAAGAAGCCATGGCCTTCTATTGGAAAGGGAACGCTCTTTTTACCCGTCGGCTGCAGCTGGACGAAGACGCAAACCCCGAGACCACATTCGTTCTAGACTATCGCAATGATACCTCACCGATTCCCTCATTGATGCAACTGTGCCAATTCTTATCCAGCAGCCTTACTTTCGTAAGCCTTGAAGGTATAGAACTGTGGCTGGATGACTGGAACTTATTGAGACTTTCGAAGAAGACTGCCCCAAGTGTCAACCTAAGCATTCCGAGGGACATCGAAACCAAAACACCACAAGGGTTGTTGAAGATTCAAAATGTCACACGGGAGGTTGCCCAAGTTGATGCTTCGTGGATGCGCGTTGTTGAATGGAACCCAAATGCAAGCATTTTCCGTGAGGGACTCAGAGATACAACTGGTTCTTTGCGTTCCTTCTTCTCTAAACTCACGGGCCAGAGCGGCCCAGAAAAGCCAGCGAAGCCTGAAAACAAAGACAATTCCACTGACACTGGCGAAATGACCAAGACTGAAACCGCCGCGGTATTCCTACACATCAACACCGCCAGTCTTCAGGCTTCCGTTAGCCAGTCTTTGAGCAGCGAACTTGAAAGAGCTACGCGCAAGCCTCCACCTAAGCGATCCACTATCGCTATACTGACCCCTTCATATGACACGACCTTAGCTTCTGGGGCCTCTGGCCTACAATCAGAGGTTCTCTCCTCTATTTTGCCTTCTAAAGCTGGGAGAGTCTTCATTGGCTTTCCAACCCACCAAACAACGGGCCTAAATGCTCATATCTCTGCTCCCTCTGTCATTCCTACAGTAGAGCGGGAGAGTATCGATCTCAACACCCGCTATATCAGCAAATGGAATCTGGAAATGCTGAGGGCAGCGGGAATTGTCTGTCGGATTGCCTGGACTGCGGAAATGGCATCCATCAAAGCAAGGATAATGTCTGGGAGAGAGTCGTCGAAGTCCACGAAAATACGAAAGGATGATATAGTTGGTGTGCTTCCTGAGGCTATTCACACGGCGAACCAGTTCGTGTTCCGTGAATCGACACCGTCATCACTTTTAGGGCAAACCATCGAGGATGCATTTTGGACGTGCAACAAAAGCTCTTCCATTGAAGTTCTTTCAACCTGCGGTATCATCCAAAGTCATCAGGCACGTCTTGCTCCGAAAGATCTTAGTTTCATGGATTCTATACCGGTTCTGCCGGATGAGTTCGTGTCGGGTGCAAAAGACTTCGTCAAGAAGCTGACCGATTTTGGATTGGTCACCGATATCACGGTCTCCGACATAAAGCGGGAACTGGAGACTAGCACACTACGAACCAATCAGGTTATTGAATTCCTTGCCTGGCTAGGTCGAAGGGCTGCCACAGGCCAACTTGATCTCTACTCAGTCCAAAGCCTTTTGAATGTCGCGGTAGCGAATGACGAAGATGACAGTGGTCCTCAGACAAGACTCATCGTCTTTGGTGGCATCGACAGTTATCTAAATCCTCAAAAAATACTGGTCAATTTGCCTGTTCCACCATCCGTGGCACCTTTCAAATTCACAAAGTCTCTTGGAAAGCAGGAGTTAGAAGCTTTTGGTTGGACAGAATATCAGATTGTTCCATGGGTTCGCTGGCTGGTCAGCAATGCTGGTAATAGAAGCCTTCTCCCTGTGGATCAAGATATCACACAGAGCCCCTCGTTCTCCGCACAAGTCTTGCCTGTTCTCTCCAAGCAATGGGACTATCTGAGCCAGCCATCGAGACAAGCGGTGATTAATCAACTACAGCCACACACCGTCATCCCGACTAAACTTGGAATGAAACCTCCTGCAGAGACCTACTTCTCTTCGGTGAGGCTTTTTGATGATCTTCCAGTCATCCATGGTCTGAACGGAGTGAAGGAGAAGTTCCTGGGCGCGCTTGGTGTTCGTAAGACAGTCGAGCTCGGTGTCATCTTCGAGCGCCTCCTCGATACCGCGGAATCACCAGATGCCTCTAGCAACAACCAGAGGAAATGGAGCCATGTTGAGTTGATCCGGTATCTTGCTTCCGTTCGTGACGATATTCCCGCGAACGATATCAAGCGCCTCAAGAATACCAGCTTGTGCACTGCCGAACCAAGCGATGGTGGGAACGGCGACTTGAAGGCAGCGAATCGCAAACGCTATAAAATTTTCGAACTGTTTGAGCCGAAAAGCTCACTCAGAGCTTTGGGGCTGCCTATCATTGAGTGGCCAGGTCAGTATCAGCCTAGCAGTAACGAGGGAAAGTTCCTTTCTAAGTTGGGGCTGAGAAGTTTTCCTTTACCTCCTGAGCTAGTCCAGATCATGGCTAGAGCGGCGGCGGATGGTAACTGGGTTCTTCATACGAGAGCGATGTCATACTATATCGCCGAGTACCATACGAGTGGCTATGCGACGTTTGACTGCAATGCAGTCGATGTCCCGTTCCTGCCCACTGAAGGCTCGCAAGGCTTGGCTACCCCGAGCAAATGTTATACGGATGAGGGCGCTACCTTGTTTGGTTTCACAATCCTTCAAAGGGACCTCCATCCTCATGCTTCCAAGTTTGGAGTAAAACAACACCCCGCTTTGAGTGAATGCATCGATTGTCTTATTCGTCAGCCACCGTCTACAAAACGTGACGCAAGGGTGGTCTTCAAGTATTTGGCCGGAAGAGTGTCGGAACTCAGTGCACGGGACATAGATCGCGTTGGGAATGCGCAGGTAATTCCTGTCTCGACTACACAGGATGCGACGGAGAAGACGGTGCGTCGGGTGACGCCTAAACTCTGCTATCTCGGAGAAGGAGAAGACTACAAAGACATATTCGACTTCGTCGACTTTGGCCAAGAAGCAAATCTTTTCCTCATGGCAGTTGGTTCCAAGAGAGAACCGACCAAGGTGGAAATTGCGCGCATGCTCGTCAAGGAACCAGCTAGGATATCGGCTACCTTCCAAAGTGCTGATAAGTATCTCAAACTACTGAGGACACTCGCTGAACATGTTGCAACCCTTAGAAAGGACCGCGAACTCTTCCAGGAAATGAAGAGGTCGGCGTTCCTGCTCGCCAGTCGGGATATCTCGTCCCTAGCGCAAGAGAATGTCGCAAAGGAGAACTTGTCTGATGATGAAGAGGAAGATCAAAGCATCAAGGAATGGACTTTGACTGTTGCGAAGGACGCCGTCGTGGTGGATGATTTCCAGAGCTTTAATCTCTTCAAAGAGCATGTGTTAGCCGCGCCTCAGGAGGAATTACTAGAGAACTTCTATCAGGCTCTAGGGGCACTGCCGTTGAGTGGGCTTGTCGAAGAGCGTGCTCACTGGGGTGCTGTAGCTGCCGACCAACGTCCAGCCGCCAAACTACAGAAGCTGATCAATGAACGCTCGAGACTGTTCCTGCATGATCAGTCTCCTGATTTGATACGGCATGAAGTGCGGTGGCTAGAAAGGCATTTGCAGGTGCAGGTGGTGCAATCCATTTCTCTCACCCGGTCTCTGAAGGGCCGTCGGATCTCGCACACTCAGAAGCGAAGCGCAATCATCACACAACAAGCAAGGGACTGGATCCTGTGGATCTGTCCGGGCAAGTATGATCTCTACGAGATTAGCCAGGCTCTTGTGCACCTCATCCTTGTCCGGCCGAAGCTCCATTCAACCCTTACGTTAGAGATGCTGTTGAAGACAGACTTGTTGGAGCTTAAAGCTCGCGGGTACAATGTGGAACGCATTCTCAAGCAAAAGGCACACGAGGCTAGGATGGCAGAGGATAGACGGCAAAAGCAGTTGGAGGAAGAGCGACAACGTCTCCAGGAGAGAGAAGCTGCATGGGCCAGAGAACAGGCCCAGGTGCAAGCACAAGCACAACCGCAACCGACGGAAGGTGAGCGCGAGCCACTAATGCCGGGAGATTTTCCAGACTCGCCCTCCGGCAAGAACGCCAGCCGTGATGTCCAGGCCGAGGGTTCTGATCAAGCGCAAGATCGGCGGCCTCGCGGGTTCTTTGCCAACCTCTCCAAACGGTTTGGGCTCGAGGGCAATCGCTCGCCTTGGAATGGCCCCAACGGCGACTCGTCCCAGCCTTCTCTTCCTGGATCCTCGGAGCAGGCCCCTCCTCCCCCGCCTTACTCTGCTGAAGATCCTCAGAAGACTCGCTCGGAAGCGCCCGTCAATGTTAATTCTCCCCATCGGCTTCAGAATGAGCTGCTCTCGGCCATCCAAGCCTGTCGACCTCACGGATCATCGGATGTTTATAGCCGACCCGAGACCAACCAAATCACGGAGAAGAAGTCCTATTGTGACGAAAAGCCCAGTCATGATCTTGAGTTTGTAGCGACTCTCGCCTGTGGGATCAACGTGCTGGTTGTGAGGACGCTCCCGGACCGCAGTCAGTTCCTGGCCAAGAACAGCGTCGGTATCAATGTGTTTGCTTCGATGCTGATCGAGTGTGCCGCGATCTTCTCGCTACGGTCCGACATTCTCAGTGTCTTCTATGACCCCGGCGGTAAGACGATCGCCTTCAACCGGGCTGGCAGTGTCTTCTGTAACTACTTTTACTTCCAGCAACTGCACGAGAAACAGCTGCTCCAAACCCCCAACTCCGACCGTACGGACGCACTCGTCTACTGGTGGGTAATCTTATGCCACGAATTGGCCCATAACCTGGTGGAAGACCACAGCTCCGCCCACAGTTACTACACGTAAGTCTGCCTCCAGTTGTATCCCTGTCCTTTTACCGCTCGAAATGGAAGTATCTGGTACTGACAATCCTACAGCGAAAGCTTTGTTGCACAATACTTCCCGAAGATTGCGGCTAAGCTGGCGAGCGCAGGGAGAAGTGCCTAGCCCCCCTACACTGTGTTGTCCGGGTTGTAATAGGCGTTCCTAATTGCAGAGCGGGGTGTATCAGGTAGACGGCCAGGCGCCGGGATGTATATATGTGATAGTTTGAAGTCAACCTTTCTAAACCAGGTTCTCTCGTGTGCCAGCTGATGCAGGAGGCGTAGTTTAGGAACCCGCCCCAGGCCGCTAGGTGACTTTGATTCTAGGAAAGGGACTACGCTTAGGGCTAGTTTGCGTAGCTGGTGAGAGTGAGTCTAGTTGTATGTAGTTTGTACTCGGTCGATCCCCAGTGGCTAGCCTGATGCAAACCAAACAAACATAGACATCACCTCCGCGGAGAGCGGCGGCGGGTCTTCGATCTTCTTGATCTTTCCAGAGCTTCCAGTCCAGCTGCATTGTCTCAGTCCGTGTCATTACGGGCAGGTTCTTGAGCAGGAGCACTCCCGACTACACCGACCTCATGGCGGGCACTCCCGATGCCTCGATGGAGGAAATCCTCTGGCGGTCCCCGCCTCACGTTCAGATGATGGGAGGATACCTTCACTCCAATAACAGTACGAGTTCCAGTTCCTTGTAGATACCAGCTCTCGCTCACTAACCCTGTCCATGGATGATCAGTTCTTTTCTACTTTGCCGAGTCCCCATTCTTTGACCCTACTTCGAATAACGCCTCTCTTGCCATTCAAGCCAACTACAATGAAGCTTTCCGTCACTTTGTCGAGACGCGCGAGGCCTTTGAGGGCCGGTTGAAGACCATGCAGGGCTTAGAATTCGTGGTTTCATATGATCCGATTCAGGCTGCAGCGCAACCTGACGGTCGCTTTGCGCACGACCCGTCGAATATTTGGGTAATTCGCAAGCAAAACAGGCGCAAGCGGGCCGGCCAAGAAGACGAGGTGGTGGTTCTCTCGACATACTTTATCGTAGGAGACTGCACTTACATGGCCCCGTCAGTTGCGAGCGTAGTGGGAAATCGCATCGTACGTGATCTTCTTCCATGGGTCGCAACCAATCTTTCTGGAGAACCCGAAGCTAACTCCGTTTTTCCGTTGCCTAGCTGTCCGCAGTCACGTCTCTTACCAGTCTGCTGAAGACGGCATCTACACTACCCACCTTCACACCCTCACACGGTCATACCTACCTGCCACCCGCGCCCAAAAGTACAGACGCAAGCCAGCCCGGCGCGCAGTCACAGCAGAGCAAGGAGAACACGCCGTTGCCGGAGGACGCAGTTGGCAAAGCCCCGCTCGGCGGATCACAGGTAGTCAGCGCGGGCTCGAGCCTGCAGGACACCCGGACACTCGTGGAGTCATTCAGCCTGCTCTCACGGTATGGTGACGAGTACATGGACGAGCATCCATTGGTAGGAGAGCCTGGGTCGTTTATCCTGTCCCGGGTCAACGACGCAGATCGGGCCGCGGCAGCGAAACAGGCAGCCGGCGTGGGAACCGCAGCAGGGAAAGTTGGTACGCCGCAGGTCAAGGTCGACACGCCGGGCAAATTATCCGAGAAGGGGGCGACGCCGTCAGGGACGGACGAGAGCAAATTGCGGAAGAAGAAAGGCAAGGTGGGAAGTTGAGAGTGGCAGGACTTCTGTGATACCCTATCTAGATGAGAGCAGGATTCTCTCATTCCGGCCCTGAACCGGCTAGCTAGATCCCCAATCTCGAGGCCAGGACATAAGAGCCAGAGCTGTCCTGCCCTGCTCAGCTGCCTGACATGATCATGACCATCTATAGACCATCCCTCCCTTGGCCGCCGAGACGGCCAATCACCCGACGAAGAGTAGCTTGAGAGGGTTTGGATGCACGCCCGCCCAACGCCCAGTGACTCATCGGCCATGCCTGCATCTATAAATCCCAGTACAGTCCCCCAAATGGCCGCCGCCACTCACTCAGGGCAGAGGGTTCCCATTTGGGTCGAGAACCGCCGCATAAGGGAAACCGGTTACATCACAGCGCCGTCGTTGCTGCGACTCCTCCACCCCCCATTGACCCTCCATCTTCGCTCTGAATTCTCTTCCTCATAGGAGCACCTGTAGTAATTACACGACGCATCATGAGCTCCGAGAATCCCAAGCCCGCAGTGGTCTGCGTGTTGTAAGCTCTATCCATCCCTCCCTCCTCCTTCCCCTCCTTCCCTTCCCCGCATCCATCCCCCCATCCAACAACTCCACCATCTACATTGAACCACCACCACAACCCCAAGAATGCTAACCCCAACCCCCACCCCAGCTGCGGCTCCGTCTCCGGTACCAACCCCCGCCACATGGAAGCCGCACGGGCCCTAGCCCACGAATTCCACCAGAACAACATCCACCTAGTCTACGGCGGCGGCACCGCCGGCCTCATGGGCGAAATCGCCCGCCGACTCGTCCAACTCTCCGGCCCACAAGCCGTGCACGGAATCATCCCCCGTGCCTTAGTAAAGACCGAACCGGGCTATGACAACGCGCAGGAACATCCCCCGACCTCAATCCCAACCTCAATCTCGACCTCGACGTCAGAAACAGGCATCCAGCAAGCCCGCGCCGGCAAAGACGCGGAACGTATCGTCCCCAACACCAGCAACAACACGAAGAGTAACGGGACGGGTCAATTCACGGAATCCGAGTACGGGACGACGACCATCGTAGCGGATATGCATACGCGGAAGCGGTTGATGGCGGAGAAGGTGCAGGAGGGGGGACCCGGGTCTGGGTTTGTGGCGCTGGCCGGGGGGTTCGGGACGATTGAGGAGGTGATGGAGATGACGACGTGGAATCAGCTTGGGATTCATGGGGCCGGGGTGGTGGTGGTGAATGTGGATGGGTATTGGGATGGGGTGTTGGAGTGGGTGAGGAAGGCGGTGCAGGAGGGGTATATTGGGGAGGAGAATGGGAGGATTTTGGTCGAGGTTAAGGATGTGAAGGAGGTGTGGCCTCGGTTGAGGGGGTATCGGGTGAGTAATGGGAGGATGAGGTTGAATTGGGGGG